TACTCGGAGTCTCTGCCCACTCTCACCTTCTCTCTGGTCTCATTCAGCCAACGGGGCCACTCCTGACGTCCTGCAGCAGGGCCGCCTGCTGGTTGTGGACTATGCCACCTGCTCCAAGTCTACCTGGTGGGGAAGCACCGTGAAGCAAAGCATGGTGTGCGCTGGCGGTGATGGTGTGACCTCCAGCTGCAATGTGAGTATCCACCACCAGGTGGCCCAGTCTACAACCAAACATGGCCGGGATGTGGCGGGGGTGGGGGTGGGGGTGTGTGAAATGTTGGGGGTATCCTAGGGTCCATCTTCTTCCTCCCTCCTAGGGCAGGAGCCTTGCAAACAGTTCTGGACCATTTCAGAACCTGACCTTTGTTCTCAGTCCCCAGGAACGATGGTTTAAGCCCCATCACCCTGTAGCGTCCTCTTTGCCTAACGGCTAGGAAGTCTTGAGTGTTTCCTTGGATCTCATCCAGGTCTCTACTGTCATCCCACTGTAATGACCCAAGGTGGCCCCTTGGGTAGCTGCTATAGAAGTCTTCTTAAAGACTATGGCACGAACCGAAGGTCTTGTTACAGGCAGATTCTTCTGAGGGGGAAGAGGGTCCTCACACCCACAGTCAGTGCCTGACCTGCACAGACCCCTCACCCCATGGTCTCCTTCGAGCAAGTCTGAGCCTCTAACGCTCAGTTGCCTTCTCCAGTGAAGCTGGGAAACTCAGGCTGCCCTCACAGGCTTGAAAAGACAAGAGGCACAGAAAGTGCCTAGGTGCAGCTTGGGGCACGTACCTATCATCCCAGCACTAGGGAGGGTGAGGCAGGGGGATTGCTCTATGTTTTAGCTCAGCCTGGACCACATGGAAAGAACCTGTCTGGGAGGAAAAATGTGAGCCAAGCAGGAATGATGATCCACACCTGTAATGCCAGCATTTATGGGGCTGAAGCAGGAGAGCCAATTGTGAGGCTGATCCCCAAATAAAGCTATGCCAGCTCCCGTAGACAAGGTACCACAACCTGGGACCTGGCTGGCCTCAGAGGATGGTGATCAACATGAATATACTAAGAACCAGGCCACTTTGGGCATCCTCTTCCTCCGTTCACACCCGACTCTGGCTTCCTAGGGGGACTCCGGCGGACCACTGAACTGCCAGGCATCTAACGGCAAGTGGCAGGTGCACGGCATTGTGAGCTTCGGCTCCTCTCTGGGCTGCAACTACCCCCGCAAGCCATCCGTCTTCACCAGGGTCTCCAACTTCATTGACTGGATCAACAATGTAAGCACCACCAGCCCCAAGCCCGCAGTCTGCCATGAGGCCTGCGGGGCTTCCCAGGATCAGCAAGTGTTATCTCATTTCTTCTTATGGGTATACAGGTCCAGCCTTCACCCTCCAATGCAGTCAGTGGTCATATTATGTTTACAAAATCCACACCCAAAGGTTTGAGACCCCTACAGCCTTAGTTGTCAGCACTTAGTTCCCCTGAAGAGTGCTCCCCAATCCCTACAAGATGACCAACTGTTCCTATCTACCCCCAGACAAAGGACTATTCAGTTCTGTGTTAGCTCACTCCCAGGCAAATGGGACCGAGTCCTTTCCTGGAAGCCCAATTTCCTTTTTACTCTAACAAGCACAAATTATTAAAAGAATAGTTGGGGGAATGTAGGCAGTACAGTGCATGCCTTTCGAGTACCAAGACCTGAATTCAATACCCAGAATCCCTGTAAAAAGCCAAGCATGGTATGGTAGCCCATGCTTGTAGTCCCAATGCTGAGGAGGCTGAGACAAGCTGACCCGCCAGAGCAGCTGAGGACACAGGCAGCAGTTGGGGGGAGCAGCCAGAACAGTGGGAAACTGGCATGCTCAAAGGATGGAGGGAGAGGGAGTCTGGGGAGGGATGCTAGTGAGGGAGGGGTTCTGCCTACAGGGTGTATTTTAATTCACTCCTCTATAGCCTCCCCTTTGGTTTGCTTTTCTGTAAAATGGAATTTGAACTAAACAGACTTCTCAGCAGGAACAGCAAGGATGGTGGCACTTGTGACAGAGCCCATAAAGTAGGGAAGTTGTCATTGTCTCATTCCCTCCAGTCCAATCTGCAGGGAACCTTAAATTGAATTGGATTGTTAGAAAAAAAGATATGAACTGGCAGCCATGCACACGGGGAGAGGGTGCTGTCCAAGCCAGCCTGAGGCTGCTTCCAGGTTTGCCCACTCGTCCTTGGCAACTTTTGTGTGCTGGTTCTGGTCGGCCCACACTAGACTTAGCCCCAGAGCATCCAAAAAAGATTGTTAGAGCTCAGAAATGGATCAAGGAGATAAAGGCTCTTGGTGAAAAATTTGACTGACGGCCTAAATTCAAAGCCCAGGACCCACATGGTAGGAGAGAACAGACTCTCACCAAGTTGTATTTCAACTTCCATACTTGTGCTGTGGTACAGATGTGCGCGCGCGCACACACACACACACACACACACACGCACGCACGCACAAATACATGCTTCTTTTTTAAGTAAGTTAGAGGAAAAAAACCCCAGAAAATCAAGAGGGATTTTTACATTTTGGTTTTGATTGTGAACTGGGGAGAGAGCCATGTCTAAGTTTTGGCAGAGGGAAATCTAAACTCAGTTTAGAGCATTTCAAGGAGCCTCAGTGACTGGGCAGAAAGATGCTAATGGGTTTTATCTCGGGCAGATCCTGGGATCTTTTGTGGCCCCAGCTGCTGCGTCAGTCACTATGCAGCTGAGCCTGGCAGCACCTTTGGGACCTAAAGCATGACTTGTCCCAGCACCTGCTGTTCCCAGCCACAGACACAGGCAGACAGAGCAGGGCAGATGGCTGCGGGTGGGGGTGGGGGCAGTCAGGAAGATCAAAAAGGGAAAGCAAACCTTGCTGGGCACCTGAGCAGAGCCCTTGCATTCTCAGGAGAGGTCAGTGTTGGAAGGCGGGGATTGGGGATGGGGGCCAGCAGGAGTAGGGAGCTGAGGAGCCAGCTGTCCCTGAAGGAGCAATGGAAGCCTCACAGGGTCCCAGCCCAGGGCCGCACTGTGTGCGCGCATGCAGCCTTAAGTCTCAAACAGCTGCAACCCTGAGGATGCTGGGAGCACCTGTCTACACAGCCTTAGGTGATGAGCCAAGGCCAGCAAGCTGCCAACAAAAGGCACAAAAGAGATCAGGCAGCCCGAGACATTCACCCTCTCAGCAGCTGTCCATTGGAAAATGTCAGCCTGGATGCTTCAGCAATCACAGCTTTATTGTTCTGTCCTGAAAGGAATATATTTCTTTATTTAAAATATTGTTTATAAAAAGAATATAGGAGTTATTAAGTAAGCAGGGAAGATCTCACTTTAACCTGTGTTCCCATTCTACAGAGGGAATCACTGTGAATTACATGCCATGTGCTCTTCTGGGTTTTGTGTGCATATAAGACAAAAATATAAAACAAAACAAAAACCTGTATTGCCAGACATAATCAAAACATTTAGCCTGGAATGGTGGCAAACACCTTTAATACCTACATTTGGGAGGCAGAAGCAGGCAGATGTCTGTGAGTTCAAGTCCAGCTTGGTCTACAAAGTGAGTTACAGGACAACCAGAGCTGTTACATAAAGAAACCCTGTCTTGAAGAAACAAAGCAAAACCAAACAAACAAACAAGGGATGTTTCATATTTCCATTGTAATGCCTGCACTACTGCGGTGAGCAGCCTTGGCCAAACCTTGGACTCTGCTGAGGGCCTGGGCTATAGCAACCGGCAGCTCCACTGTGTACAGAGACTGTATGTTAGAATGTACAGGGAATCCCAGCACAGTGGGAGGTGAGAGGGTCGGGAATTCAAGGGCATCCCTGGCTACAAAGCAACTTTGAAGCCATCGTGGGCTATGAGAAACCTCATCTCAAAAAAAAAAAAAAAAAAAAAAAAAAAGCCCCAAGGGCTATTGTGCAGCTCCGTGGTAGCGTAGGTGTGAGACCCCAAATTCCATCCCAGCACCAAAACCAGACACATCCAAAAAAGTATTCGATCCGCTAATTGGTCTTGGAAACAAGAAACAATTAGCACGGTGTAGTGGTGCACACCTTTAATCCCAGCACTGGGCAGGCAGAGAGAGGCAGGCAGCTCTATGAGTTCAAGGCCACTCTGGTCTACAGAATGACTTCCACAACAGCCAGAGCTACACAGTGAGACCCAGTCTCAGAAAAACAAAGAAACAGATTGCACCCAAAGCCACACCTATCTGTACATTTGTCATGCACTCATTAGAGATACGTGGCCTCTGGTCCTGAGGCTCCAGCAGGACTCCAGGCGAAGACCCCTCTTTACAGGTTGGGAAAGCCATGACTCCCTGAGAGTCAGCCATCAGGCTAACCTCACCTTCTCCTGTGTGTCCTGCAGGTGATTGAAAAGAACTAAGGGAAGATGGCTCTGGGGCTGCCACCTTGGAAATGTAGTCACATGGAAAGCGGTAATAAAGTGACTCTATGAATCACATCCTGGTATGATCTGTCTTATTAACCAGACGTCCTAGCCTCAGGGCCCGGAAAACAAAGCCCTGGAGGAGCGTGGTGCGATGGGGCACGTTATAATCCAATGCTCAGGAGGCATCAGGGATGGGCTACACAGAACCCAGCTCAGAGATAAACCCTACCATGTGAGCTCAAATGGATGTTCATAGAGCAAAGACTATCAGAAAGAAAGGAAACTAAGTCAAAGTCAGGATAGCTATACAGACCCCAGGGGCAGCCAGCATTTCACCATTGCACGTCACTGCCATCAGGGGACAGGTTCACTTGGCAAGGAAGACACTGGAAGACAGCGGTGGGGACTCAGGATAGCCGAGCTCTGTCCAGGTGTTTCCAGAAGAGTAATCATGGTCCTTCAGACAGGACACTTGATCCATGGAGACTCCGGGCTCCCCCAGAAGTCACCTCCTGGACTCGGGCAGGGAACTTAGAAGACACGGAGAAACACTCAGGAAAAAACCAAAGTCTCCTTTGTAGGGAAGAACAGACAATAGGAGTGGGGACGGCACAGGCAAAAGGAAGACCTTTGGCCTAAGATTTATTTTTTAAGAATAAATGATACAATAAAGGAAAAAACGAACCCTTCTGGAAACTTCAGTGAGACTCAGAGATCCAGGTGTTCACACTGGCCCGCTGGACTGCAGGTCTGAGCCCCTGACCCCTGTGGACAGTGGTCCTCCAGTGGGGGCTGTTATGTCCCCTAGGGCACATGTGACAATGTCTGAAGACATTTCTGGTTAGCAGAACTCAGGAAGGGTCTCCTGGCAGCTGGCAGGTAGAGACCAGAGATGGTGCAAAACACCCTGTAATACACAGGATAATCCCATGACAGGATTACATTCAGCGGCAGAGAAGCCCTGCTCTAGAGAGGGTCTGGGGTCACAGGCCAGTCCCTAAGCACAGATGGAGAGGCCAGGTGGCATCCACAGCACACTCCCCCTCTCCCTCCACCGATCTGCGTCTCTCACCAACCTGGAAGCTGCTAGGAGCCTGTCTGCCACACAAGGGGAAAGAGCGGCCTGTCCCAGTTCCAAAACCCTGGCTTTGCAGGACAGTCCTGGTCTCGCCACCTCCAGGGTATGAAGGTTTAGGGAAGAACAATGAGGCAATGAGCAGCCCCAGCCTCATTAAGTCCTGAAAAACAGTTTCTTCCGGAGGAAGTTAAAACAGCCAGGAATCTGCTTATAAATTCCTTTCTCAGAAACAGCATTGGCAACCTGCAAAACAGAACCACAGGGGGAATCTATGAGTTCAGTGCCCTTGTCTGAGACCATAATTAAGGGGAGGGCCACTGAAGGGGCCATCAGAAGGCCTCCTGGGGTGGCTTAGAGAACAAACAACACAGCTACTGGAAAAGAATGGAAAACTCAAGTTTTCCAATACAAAACTCACAATTCCAATCAGACTGAAAGGCTAGAGGTAAGAAAGATGGCGGGGGGGGGGGAAGAACGGGGGAGGGAGGGGAGGACGGGACTCAGAGACTGTGCTGCTCAGCTCCCCCTGCCCTGTAGGGCCCCACTCAGGACCAGAAGTGACTCCTATACCCCCGGAGTGTGTACCTGAGCAGAGCAGTGAAAACCCACGGGGTCCTCGTTGTTTGGAGCATTATTTTAACTGGGCAGAGATGAGTCCCATGTGTTCATGCTGCATCTCTTTAACTATGTAAAGATGTGTTCCATTTGTTTCAGCCTGCCTGCCTAAGGCACCTGACTGATCTAATAAAAAGCTGACCTGGCAAAGCTAGGCAGGGGAGGGACAGGTGGGCCTGGCGGGCAGAGAAAATAAACAGGGGGAAGAGAAGAGAATGAGGGAGGAAGAGGAGGAAAAGTCAGCCAGCAGGCACGAGAAGCGGTGAAAGTAAGGTACACTGATGGAAAGAAAATAAAAAGCTCCGAGGCAAAAGGCAGATAAAGAGAAACAGGTTAAGTTAAAAGAGCTAGCCAGAAACGAGCCTAGGCTGGGTCGAGTATTCAGAACTAACAAGTCTCCATGTCATCACCTGGGAGCTGGCTGGTCACCCAAAGGAAGGGAGCGAGTGTCTCGAGATGGCTGGCTGCTGCGGAGCAAGGCACCGCCAAGCCCCTTCCTGTGCCTTCTCCTTGAGTGTGGGAGCCCGCAGTGACTCTATTTCCATCTTGACTCAAGGTCAGAGAGTTCAAGCTTGTCAAGGCCAAATAATAAATAGGGTGTCTGGTCAAAGGCATGGTCACTACCTGTTTTGCTCCTCAAGGCCAAATAACAGGATGTTTGAGCAAAGGCATGGTTACTAGATGTTTGGAGAATTAAAGAGGTGATTACACTTGTTTGTTCCTTGAACCAAGGGAAGGAAGTCTTGCCCTCCCCTTTTTTGCTTTGGGAATAAAAGGGCATGAGTAATAAATTCGAGGCTACTCCAACATTCACTGAGAACCCTCCCGAATCTACTTTTTTCTTAATTCTCATGCCCTGTTTCAGGTATTGCTCGACAAGTTAGTTGGTCCCGACAACTAGGCCTCCAGGAAGGGGACACTCTAGGACAGAATCACAGTGCTTGATGGTCAAGAGTCAATGACATTGGGCTCTAGATGGAGCTCAGTTGGGGGGTTACTTGTCTGGCACGCATGACATCCTGGATTTCACCCATAACAACTGGGTGTGGTGGTGCACAGCTGTAATCCCAGCACTTGGGAAGTAGAGGCAGGAGGACCACAAGTTCAAGTTCACTGCTCACTACATAGCAAGTTCTAGGCCAGCCTGGGCTACATGTGACTCTATCTAAAGGGAGCATGTTGGGGACTGCCAAAGGGTTAAGCGAGAGGCACGTGGTCGGGCTTCAGGGTACCATGCTCTTGCCACTGAGCCACCCCACCTGGCACTTAGGACACTCCGTCACCTGGGGAACCAGGGGTCAGCCTGGGCACCTGTCGCCCAGGAAGCAGGGGACGACAGCACTTCGCCAACGGGACGAACGTCATTGTCATGCTCACGTTCCTCACCTGAGAGGCAAAGTGCTGCCCGGCTCTCAGCCAGGGCCTGCTGCCCTGCTCTCCAGGCCTCTGCGCCCCTCAGGAAGAAGGACTCACCCTGAGGAGGAGGGACTGCAGGTCTTCAGCGTGAGCCCACTGCCCCAGGACGCCGTCCAGGGTCTCAATGTACCAGGAGCCACTCTTCTTGTCCCTCCAGGAGACAAAACCTGCAGGAGAAGGCCGAACTCTGTCACCCAGCAGAGAGGCACACTCGATGGCAGGGTATGCAGGCCACAGCCAGATCCACACTGTGGCTCACGGTCAGGTGGCAAGGGCGGCCCCATCCCCGTGGCTCCCTGAGCAGCTGTGGCTCCCATCTTCTCCCATGGAAATCAAGGTTCTGGGAAGTCGGGGGGGGGGTCTCAAGAAGGTTAAAGGATGCACCTGATCACCCCCTTACCACCACATGCCCAACACTGTGCTGAGGGAAGTGCCACCCCCATCCCTTGTTTACTTTGCAGCAACCCCAGAAGGATCACTGTTCTGAAGCCTTGCCTGCTTCACCCTGAGAAGGGGCTCAGGAGAAGGGAAGTGACTTGCCAAGGACCCTGCAGGCTGTGCCCAGCAGAAACAAGACTTCAGGACATAGCTGCCCCCGGGGCTAGGGGTGAGGGCACCCCTGGGAAGGCGGGATAGGATAAATGAGCTAGCTCACCTGGGAAGGTGGAATAGGATACAAGGATGTCACTGGGAGTGGGCAAACTTGACACGGCATCCAGCTGGTCACAGGTCCCTGGGCCTTCCTGGTATGGGACAGCGTCTGGTTCAGAGTCACTGTCAGAGGCCTTGCCTTGAGAGGAACCACAGGCCACCTCAAAGCCGTGGTCTTTCTGCTCTGCAATAAGCAAAAACAGACACCCAACGTCACTACACCGTAGAAGCACTATAGCACGAGGTGCTTCTCCTGAGAAGGGAAAGACCTAGACCTGAAGCCTTCTCTCATGAGCTCTGCCAACACTGGAAGGAAACCAAAGCTGGACATGGCGGAGCACACCTGCCTTGTTTCCAGACAGGGTCTCACTATGCAGCCCTGGCTATCCAGGAACTCACTATGTAGACCAGGCTGGCCTTGGACTCAGAGATCCATCTGCCTCTGCCTCCCCAGTGCTGGGATAAGAGGCATAAGCCACCACGCCTGGCAGAGTATTGTTCATTGTGTGTGGAGGTGAGTATATGCACATGAGTGCAGTGCCCACAGCGGCCAGTAGAGGGTGTCAGATCACCTGGAGCTACAGTTACAGGAAGCTGCCCAATGCAGTTGCTGGGAACTGAACTGGGTCCTCTCTGCAACAGTATATACTCTTAACTATGGACACATCTCTCCAGGCCCTGGTCTTGACTTCTGCTCACCCTGTTCAGGCTTCCCAAATAGCTGAGATTACAGGTCTGTGCTAGCAGGCCTAATCATTTGTTTGTTTGTTTGTTTGTTTGTTTTGGTTTTTCGAGACAGGGTTTCTCTGTGGTTTTGGAGCCTGTCCTGGAACTAGCTCTTGTAGACCAGGCTAGTCTCGAACTCACAGAGATCCGCCTGCCTCTGACTCCTGAGTGCTGGGATTAAAGGCGTGCGTCACCACCGCCCAGCTCATTTGTCTTTTTTTAACTACCCTAATCATTTTATGGTTTCCCAAAGATGAAATCCAAACTATACCAAACAGGGGGATGACAAGATGGCTCAGTAAGGACAGGCACTCACTGCCAAGCCTGGACCACACGGGTCTAGTGCCTTCATGGATACAGGAAGCCCTGACAAGAACCGACTCCAAGTTTCCTCTGATCTCCACAAACATGCACAAGTGTGAACATACAAAGTTTTATGTGTGTACACATGTGTGTGTGCCAAATAGATTTAGATTTACACCATATTAAAACCTTTAACTGCAACTTTGCGGCAAATGTATACCCCCAAATAAAATCAGTCACAGGTATACCTCCCAAACCCACAATTTCCTAAGGAAATAACTCAGGTGCAGCCCATGGCCCACTATGGAAACCCCTGCGTAGTGTGAGCTGAAGGGTGGCCATCACCCAAAGGGCCACTGTTGGGAAACTGACATGGGAAAGAGGAAAGAGCAAGTCAGAGAGGGAGACCAGTCACATCTCTGTTACACACTGTACCCATGAAGGGACTGATCCCCCGTATATCATACAGCAGGAGGCAGGAGGTCCCCTCAGCACGAAAGCCCTCAGCTGCTGTGGTCAATGGTATCACACCAACAACACCACACCAGTTACCGGCTCTGGGGAACTTTCTCAAGCCTGGTTCTGTGCTACCTCCTAATGAACGGGAGCTGAAATGATGCCTCTTAAATTAGGATGCTAAATTTGAAAACAGCAACAATAGAGTCACCAAAATCCCGGGCCTCATTTGCAGGTGTGTGAACAGGACACCCAGCCAGGCTAGGGACAGGGAAGTCACTATGTTTCCATTCTTAGGTGACATGGCACCACCAGGTGGCAAGAGCATTAAACAGCAGGTCATACTTCCTGGTGGGGATACAGCTAGACAAAGAAGGGAGGGTAGATAGGAGCTTATGTAGCCCAGGCTAGCCTGAAACCATTTTTGGTCTCTCTATGTAGCTCTGGCTGCCCTGGAACTCACTATGTAGACTGGCCTAGTCTGGAACTCACAGAGATCTGCCTGCCTCTGCCTCCCAAGTGCTGGGATTTACCTTGTCAAGGAAGGGGGGCAGTTAGGGAAGACTTCCTGGAGGCAATGACAGTACATTGTAGCCAAGAGAAAGAAGAGTTGGGGGCTGAAGGGATGGCTAGGTTGGTGGTAGCACTGGCTGCTCTTGTAGAGGGCCCCGGTGTGGTCCATATGGCAGCTCACAACCATCTCTAACTGCAGCTCCGGGATCTCATGCCCTCTTCTGGCCTCCACCGACTTCTGCACACTTGTGGTGCACAGACATACATACATGCAAAATACCCACATACATAAGACTTAAAAAATAAAAATAAAAAAGTCGCTAGACGCCAGTGGTGCACACCTTTAATCTCAGCACTTGGGATGCAGAGGCAGGGGGAGCTCTGTGAGTTCGAGGCCAGCCTGGTCTACAGCGTGAGTTCCAGAAAAGCCAGGGCTATACAAAGAAATCCTGTCTCAAAAGAAAAGAAAATAAATAAAAGTCTGAAGAGTAAGACCATTCACATACGTGGGACCAAAACCCTACTTGCTACTGAAACCAGTGAGATTGGGAGAAGTAAAAACTGTGGCTGTCCCGGAAGCTGGTGTCCCACTCAGCTCTGTTCCTAGATCCCTCTGTGTCTTTCAGGGGTCCAAGTTGGAGCATCATCACAGAACACATTGGATCAGGAAAAGTGTAAACAAGAGGGCATCGCCATGACCCAGGAGCCCAGCGCAGCTTCTCCCTCCATGTTCCATATTCTGATGAAAGAGCCCTGGCAGCATGAGGTGACCCTGGGCCCTGAGGTAGGGTAGGGGGAGTACGGGAAGGGAGGCCCTGGGACAGAATAGCCAGAGTTCCTAGTTGTCATTATCTAGTCTAACACACTAAAAGACTGGTATTCATTTTTGTTTGCAGATGTGTGTGTGTGTGTTTGAGTGCACATGTGAGCACATGCATGGGGGACCAGAGGACAATATCAATGTCCTCCTCAATCACTTCCCACCTTGTTTTTAGACATGAGGTCTCTTGCTGGACCCACTGCCCAGCAAGCCAAAGAGTCCTCCTGTTCCCACCTCCCACACTGGAATTACAGGTGGGCACCACTGTGTCTGACTTTTCCTTGGGTGCTAGGGCTCAGACTCAAGAGTGCCCCGTTTTCATGGCAGGCTGGTGTGGGATATTCTTCTGTATATATGTTGCTTTCATTTATTTTTATTTTATTTTTTAAATGCTGAGAATAAGATAGTCTTTTTTTATACTTAGTTATTTATTATGTATACAATATTCTGTCTGTGTGTATGCCTGCAGGCCAGAAGAGGGCACCAGACCTCATTACAGATGGTTGTGAGCCACCATGTGGTTGCTGGGAATTGAACTCAGGACCTTTGGAAGAGCAGGCAATGCTCTTAACCACTGAGCTATCTTTCCAGCCCCCATTATTTTATTTTTTATGTTGCTAATGAATAAAGCTGCTTTGGCCAGTGGCTTAGCAGAGTAAAGCTAGGTGGGAAATCTGAACAGAAATAAAGAGAGAAAGTAGGTGGAGTCAAAGAGATGCCATGTAGCTGCTGAAGGAGAAAGATGCTGAAAAACCTTACTGGTAGGCCACACCCTCATGGCCACACATAGATTAATAGAAATAGGTTAATTTCAAGATGTAAAAGCTAGCTAGAAATACGCCTAAGCTATTGGCCAAGCAGTGTTGTAATTAACGTAGTTTCTGTGTGATTATTTGGGTCTGGGTGGCCGGGAACGAACGAGCAGTCTCTTCCTACAGCAAGCATGTTACAGATGGAGCTATCTCCCCGCCCCACTTTATCTGCTTTTACAGAAACTCTGGGGCTGAAGTCATCCAGGTCACATGAACCTGTGATATCACTGTGCTGAACTCCTCAGATGATGCTGGGCTTGCAGCATCTAGGTGGAAGTCCTGCTCTACACTACTGTGTGTGGAGAACCCGCTGGACACAGTGAGCAGCTAGTGAGGAAAGCAGCAGGCAATGGCTCCTTATCTGCGCTCCCGGGAAGCTGAGTGTCACTTACCGCCACCACAGGCCTGGATGAAGAACAACTTCGGCTTCCCCCCCAGGCTAGGGCAGCCAGTCCCATTGAAGATGTTCACAATTTTCTCGATGGACACGGCGCATCCATCTGTGCCATAGACGGCACCCGGGAACTGCAGGTGGCTGGCCTAAAGGACAAGGCACCCTGGTTACAAAAACAAGATTCTGGGTAGAAATCCAGAGGCCTCTCCCAAGGTTTTGTGTGTCAATATTCAGAAGGCTGTAGGTGAGGACATCCACTGACAGAGACGGAGCAGGGCTACTGCAGGGCCTGTCAAGGATCAAGAGAAGCTTCCTACCTGGCACCCATGAGAGAGGATGACCACCACAAAGCAGTCCAGGGCGCGGTGGTCCCGTTGTGCCATCTCCACCAAAGCCGCAACCATTTCCTATAAGGGAAGACAGCAGGTAAGATGGGACCTGCAGGGTCCAGCCTGAGGCCATGACACAGCACTCTGCTCCCAATATAGAGGTTGTGATGGACACAGTCAGCAGACGGGTACCATTTGTAGGAGAAGATGCTATGCTTGGTCACCGACCATTTACTCCCCACGGCAAGTCTATGAAACAATTACTCTTGCTTCTAAACAGGGAAACTGAGGCGTAGGAGGTTAAGGGGTAGGCACAGAGAAAGCCAGGTCGCAGACTCTCTTTCTCTAAGTCTGATGCTACGTTGACCATGCCACTTCCCACAGCCCTTTGGACGGAGAGGCTTGTCTGGGGAATGTCCCTCAGGGGACAGTGATTTACCTTGGCAGTCAGGTCATTCTTCACCTCCACCATGAAATGCAGCCAGCGGAAGCGGTGTTGAAGCTTCTCACAGTCCACATTGGAGCCAGTGCGCGTGCTGAGTCCCGAGGAAGGGCGGAAGTTCACATTGTTGATGATGAGGCAGTGGCCACAGGGGTCTGCATCCAGGATGTATGCCTGCCCAATGAGTTTTCAATATCATGGAGGGGGTTGTCTCAGTGCACTCCAAAGGAGAGGTCACGACCCCTGGATCTCACTTATATGGTCGAGTCTGGAGTGCCAGCAAAGGACATGGGTGGGGTTTGTAACCCCCAGGGCCAGCTGGACAAGTATCAGGTGAGAACTGAATGCCATCTTACAATTCAGGGATGGAAAATCATAACCCAGGTAGGTGGCTCCCATACATAATCCCAGGCAGGTTTGGTGGCACACACCTTTAATGCCAGCATTTGAGAGGCAGAGGCAGGTGGATCTCTGCTTTCAAGGTCAGTCTGGTCTGCATAGATACTTTGTCTTAAAAGAACAAAACAAACTCAAAAAACAAAATCAAAACCAATAAGACATATGCAATCCCAACACCAGAGAGGTTGAGGAGGAAGATTGCCACAAGTTCCAAGTGAATTGGGGGCTTTATTTTGAGTTCTAGAACCTCTTGGGCTAAATAATAAACCCTTGTCTCAAAAATACAATATTTGTTTTCTACAGTTTTTTAACACTTATTTATTATGCATACAGTGTTCTGCTTGCATGTATGCCTGCATGCTGAAATGGGTTAATTTAGATGTAAGAGCTAGTTAGTAAGAAGCCTGAACTGTTTTCAATTAACATAAGTTTCTGTGTGATTATTTGGGACTGTGCAGTCAGGACAAGAAGCGCCACCACCGTTTACACTTGAACTTCCTCTTCCACGACCGTCCATGGGTCTGACCTCTCTATCTTAATATTCCTCTGCCTGCCTTTTCTCTCCCCAGTGCAGGCTCTGCATAGTAAGTTGCCTTGTTCCCAACATGAAGAACTACAGCAGCACACGGAGTGTGTAGATTGCAAGGACAGCCTCAGCAGTGACTTGGCTGGAGTGGACACCTAGAGGATGCAGCCCTTCTTTAGCTTTCAACTTTGATTTTACAGGGGCAGATGGGCAGGGTGGGTGGGACAGAGTGCTCCAGCTGGGGTCAGGAGCCACAGAGTGTGGTAACTGTAACCAGACTTCCCCAGCGAGGCAGGGTTCCTCAGCTCCTAGCTCAGCCACAGGGAAGGCGTGGGGAAAAGAAACTGTAACCACATAAGGACTTACCATATCTGCATGACCCTTGATCTTCTCTGGAGCACCTGAAAAACAGGGAAGACAAAATGTGGGTGTTGGGGTTCAGTTGAGAAAAGCCAAGGAACTGTGAAGACAGCTCTCACAGCAGGACTTTGGAATAGAAGTCAAGGACACAGCCACCATAGAGACATGTCCCAACGACATTAAAAACACACACTTCCACCCTTGAAAAGAGCCCAAGAACATTCACTAAGGTCTCAGTCAAAAGCCTCAGACTGTGATTCGGCCACTGGTGGTGGTGGGGCATCCTAAAGAGAAGCCAACTAGTGATACCCAGAGAGCAGGAGGCTATGTTAAAAAACAAGCAAGCAGCCAGCCACTGAAATACAGACCACATAATTCCAGTACTACATAAAAGGAGTAAAAATAAAAAATAAATCTGTATGAGTTCCTTGCTCTAAGTTCATGCCTTGTATTCCTGCCCTGATTAGTCTGGAACTCTAGGACCCGGGGATTTGATGCCCTCTTCTGGACTCTAATGGCACTGCATTCATGTGCACATATATAAGTACACATAACTTTTAACTATAGAATAAAAATATAATTTACACAAAAAAGATAAATGCTAAAATTCTGAATCTCAATCCACCAATTTGTACCCAGAGTCACACCCCAATAACCGCATCACACTTACCCACCAACCATTCTCTCAGTACTCACAGACATCATGGCTTCTGTCAGAACCAATGTCCACTGGCCTGGGAGTTTCTGGCCTGAGAACCTCTGGTCTGAGGCGGGCAGGCCAGAGCTCTTCTGGCCCCAGCACCACGGGTGTGAGGTTTCCCTGGGCAGGCTGAGATGGGTCCAGCTTCACTACTCTCTGCTCCTTTGGTGTGAGTCCGATTGGTCCCAGGACCACAGGCACCAGGTGGTCTAGGGGTTTAACAGCCTCTGGATCCTGCTTGGCTGCTTGCCGGCTAGTTCGCAAGAATGAAGCCAGGGTGTCTTGACCTGTGTCCTCTAAGCAGGAGATGAAGACAGGAAGGGCCTGCCTCCCTCGGGTCTCAAGATCGGTGACCAGCTGCCTGGCCTGATCCCGCCGAGACCCAGAGCCTGCCCGCTGTTTGGAGAGAAAAACCAGACAGACACTCATTATCCAGGGACATTCATTGGCTCTCACCCTGTCTCCCACATCTCGTCTAGCGTTAAGGCTGGGGCAGGTGGGCAGAAACTCACTCAGCAGTGCATTGAAAGCATGTCGCATGTCCCTCTGCAGCCTTTGCTAGTCTAGTCATTGCAGTGCTTCAAAGACACCTACTGTGTGTCCAGCACTGTGCTGGGTGCTAATTAGTCCCACTAAAAGGAGGAAAACGGTGGCCAGCGGCTTGCACAAGGTACATAAATTTTTCTAAATTTGTTTTTAATTATTTATTTAAATTTGTTTTTAATATTTATTTCATTGTATCGGTGTTTTGCCTGCAAGCATGTCTGTGTGAAGGTGTCAGGTCTCCTGGAACTGGAGTCATAGACAGCTGTGAGCTGTTATGTGGGTGCTGGGAACTGAACCCAGGTCTTCTGGAAGAGCAGTCAGTGCTCTTAAGTGCTAAGCCATCTCTCCAGCCCCAAAATCTTCTAAATTTGTTGCTAACATTTAAGTAAGTGAGGGAATTGAATGCAGAAATCAAGATTCCCAGCCTCTCCTTTTTGGAGCAAAGAGGTTTTGTTCGGAACGGGGGTAGGAAGCTTTCATTTTGGTTTAGGGGAAGGAAAAGTTCTCAAGTAGCCAAGACTGGCTTTCGACTTCCTTGAACTTCAGACTCTCCTGCTCTTGCTTTGGTTTTGCTTTAAATATTTGTGAATGTGTGTGTGTACACGTATGTGTGCGCGCATGCACCAATTGTGTGCGAGGTGCCTGAGGAGGCTGGAAGAGGGTGTCAGATCCCCTGGAACTGGAGTTACAGACAGTTGGGCTGACATGTGGGTGCTGAAAACTGAACCCATGTACTCTGCAAAAATGTTCTTAACCACTGAGGCAGCTATCCAGTCCTTGCTCTTGGTTTCTGAAGACTGGATCTCATGTAGCCAGGCTGGCCTCAAACCCCATATGTAGCCAAGGATGGCCTTGAACACCTGATCCTCTAGTCTCTACCTCCTGAGTCCTGGGATTCCAGGTGTGTGCCACCACCCCTGGAACCAGCCTTTCCTTTCAGTCCGTCACAGCTGACACTAGGCCAGGATACTTACAGCTCTGATCACACTTAGCTGGAGAAAGGAACAAGACGAAAAGCTGCTGGGGCCTCCCTGGGCAGTTCAGCATATGGTCCCTCTTAATGTGCCTTGAAGCCTGGGGCTTTCCCTTCAAACCACTTCCCTTGATCAGCAGTGTTCTTAACAGAAGTTGCTCCTAATACTGATTTTTATTTATTTATTTATTTATTTATTTATTTATTTATTTATTCAATTCAGGGTTTCTCTGTAGCTTTGGAGTCTGTCCTGGAACTAGCTTTTGTAGACCAGGCTGGCCTTGAACTCACAGAGATCCGCCTGCCTCTGCCTCCTGAGTACTGGGACTAAAGGCCTACACCACCACTGCCAGGCTGGTTTTACTATCAGTTGGTAGTTAATCACATGACTCTGGACCACCTTCTTCTATTTCTCCTTCACTGGACCAGACCAGGTTCCTGGATGGTAATACAGATGCTGGAGACAGCCTTCTAGGCAGTCCCCAAGAAAAAGCCTGCCATTCATAGCCTCTCAGAAAGAAATATTCCCTTTTCAGACCTGTGGTGAAGGGGTCAACTGGGACAAAGTGCTAAAGTATATTTTTTTCTTAGTTTTTCGAGACAGGGTTTCTCCATGAAGCCCTGGCTGTCCTGGAACTCACTCTGTAGACCTAGGCTGGCCACGAACTCAGAGAACCGCATACCTTGCCAGTGTATTTTTTTTTAAAGATCAAATGTTTTATTTTATTCCTCTATGCTACCTACATCAAATCCCTTTCTCCCCAAAAATCCTTTATACAGCATGCACTTGATACATAAAGGCCTGACCAAAACAGACAAGGCATGCTGCGTCCGGGTGCTGTGCCCTTCACCTCTGTTATCTCACTTGCTCTAGGATGACCACTATTCCATTTCACAGTCCAGGAAACTGAGGCTCAAAGAGGGTAAATGACTGGTACAAGGAGCCAGTGCAAGGCTAAAGTGGGTGCCTAGGACGCTAATGGTAGAGTCCGAAAAATACACGCCTACTTTCTCGAGAGAAACACGAATATTAACATAGTGTAGGTAACAGTCGCTTTAGCAAACACTCCGCAAGAGGTGCTTAGGGTTTTTCTATTTATTCTTCTGGACTCCATAAGTCCAGATAGGGGTGCCACGCCATGGTTTCCCACGATTGCGCAGGGTGCAAGGCGGGGAGAGGAGGGCGGGAGTTCGGGGACGGCGCCGTCAGCGAATATCTCCACAGCCTTCGAGCCCCCACCTGCACCGCGGGAAAAGCTGGGAACGCAAGGAGGCGGGGCGCACCTGGATATCCTCGATCATGTCCCGCGTGAAGAGCTCTCGACTAAGCAGAGCGTCCCAGAGCTCGGCGACCTGCAGCTCACCAACCAGGCGCACCCGACACCGCCGCAGGAGCTGGCGGTCCGCTTCGTCCATGGCGGGCTGCTTGCGGGACCCCGGGTTCCGTCCGCTTCCGGCCCTCGGGTTCCGCCCCGGCACCCACGCCCCGCCCCCATACTACCCAAGCAAGGGATCCCGCCCCGAGGAAGCCCTGCGGGCCTGCAGTCAACTCGGCCTCCACACTCCGCCCAGCCCCAAAGCCGATCCCGCGCACACTCGGCTCCGCCTCCCCAGCCACCTCACAGCACCCCTGCCACCCTCTCATCCCCACCTCCCCAGGCTGCCCCATTCCCCCCTCCCTCCTACGAGCTCTCGGCCCCGCCCCGCCCCTGGAGCCCCGCCCCGACACCTTCGCCACGCCCCCTTAAGCCCGCCCCGGCACTTAGCTCACACCCTAAGACCCGCCCCATACAATATTGCTCCTCTCCTAAGACTCGTCCCTACGTCGACGTCCCTACTAACCTAGACCTACACCCGAGCCCTACGTGCTCCTTCGCCCCGCCCCTAGGCCCGCCCCCCCGCCCCCCCCCCCACACCCTAAGACCCGCCCCATACAATATTGCTCCTCTCCTAAGACTCGTCCCTACGTCGACGTCCCTACTAACCTAGACCTACACCCGAGCCCTACGTGCTCCTTCGCCCCGCCCCTAGGCCCGCCCTCCCGCCCCTTGGACCCGCCCCCATTCCGCGCTCAGTTCCTCCACTGGTTCCGCACTCAGGCCCTACCCCCCATCTTTTTCTCCCTGTGGCGCTAGGGTCGTGTACTAGTCTAGCCCTCAGCTCTGGTTCCTGCTCCCCGGCCCCGCCTCTATCAGGCACCAACGTAACATTGCTCCGCCCCCTTTGGCCACCCCCACGTGACTTTCCATCCCGCCTCCCTCCCACCACCACCCCTCCGCGTTCATGTCACGCCCCCAGGACTCCCCTAGGGTTCTAGGTTCTGCGGTTTTGATTCCTTGTGCCTTTCGTCAAAGCAGTTGTAGGATCTCCCCCCCACACACCTCCCCGCACGTAGCGATTGCTCTACCGAAATTCACAACGACCCTACGTCTACAGACACTCAAAAAGGTCACCTACTTACTGGCAAGAGGAAAAGAAAGCCATGTGTAGAGGTCTGGCCCACATTATTCAAGACCCTTGCTGCTGGTGGCTTTTCTGTAAAGCCCCATCCTTGCGGCTAATAAAACCTCCTTGCCCACTACTCCCGGTGTCGCTTTGGACTATCGTGACTCACACAGCGAAGCCCACACAGACTTCCATCTCCCTCTCCTCTCCTTCCCTCCCTACACCTCCTTCAGAGAAACAGTCAGGAATCTAGTCCTCTGTTCTTCCAGTTTCGTCCTGCTCATTTCACATATCAAAAGTAATTTGAGCATTGTGCTTGCCACTTTATACTCCTTACGTTATTTGTGTTGTTTATCCCTGCCACATTCCCGACGGGAAAACAACAGCAACAAAAAGCCTAGCATGAATAACTCCATATTGGTCTGTTGGGGGCTGGTGCAGGAGCTCAACCCGAAATAACCAACTACTTATAGGTCACTTGAGCAACAAAACCTTGGGCACGGAATGCAAGTAGAACTCTACGATTGAGTTTCACTTATGGACAGGGGGTGTGGAGGTGGAGTAGGTTTTGGCTTTACTTTTTTTTTTTCACTTATTTTGCAAATATTCAAATATTCATTGGTAGCTTGTGCGTGCCAGCATCTGTTCAAACAGTGTTATAGCGCTGAACAAGACAGGTAAGAGACCCTTCCTATGGAAGCTGACATTCCTGGAAGAGCCAAGCGACAGACGATGTGGAATAAATAAACAGGATATAGCTGACATGGTAGTGCACACCTTTAATCCCAGCACTCAGGAAGCACAAGCTTCTCTGTAAGCTGGAGGCCTACCTGGTCCACTTGGCGAGTTCCAGATCAATCAAGGAAACACAATGAGACCCTGTCTCAAAAACAAACAACAAAACTAGCACGCAAGATTAAGTGATAAAAGCAAACAATTACATAAGATCTCAACACGAGGCGTGGAATAGAAAATAAATCCCCAAGAGACTTCGGTGGCTGGCCCAAAAAAATGCCAACCTTATTCACCAGACCCCTTTCCCAGGGCTTGCTTAAGTCCCATTCTAGAACATTACTGCGTTGATAAACAGAATTTGGGCAAGTCTTTGGTCCGCACTGAGTCTCAGTGCATGGAGAGACGGACTAGAAAGCATCCCTAAGGTAGGTTCCAACTCTGACGCTCTAGGATTCTATGAATAGGGTTAAAGTGAACTGGGACCAGCGACTGCGTCCCCGTCCTAGCAACGGTTGCTAGACGTAGGCCACCTTCTGGCCACCAGTGGAAACCCCTCCCCGGTTCCGGGAGGTCTTCCTGGCATCCCGTGATGCATAGCGCCTCCGCCTCGCTAGAAGGCACGTTCTGGCCTCGCTGGTCAAGATCGAGCCTTCGGACCCTGCCGGAGAGCGCGCTCCGTTCCTATAGCAACCAAGCCACAATCCACGTGTCTACGGTGAAAGGCAGGGGCCAAAAAGCTGGCCTAGTGCGCGGCCTAAACATGGTCTTATGAGCGCATTCGGAGTGCGACGGCTTTAACTGTCACGTGACCGCCCGAGCCTGAGCCCCGCCTCTTTCTCCTCCCCAGGTGCTCCGGTGTGGACTGGAAGCGCCGGCCCCGGCGGATTCACTGGAGCACGGACCCTGCGGCCGGTTGGGCCGGTGCCCTTTCCCGGTAACTCCTTCCCGGCGTGATGCGCGGACGCGGCGGGGCCCGACAGGGCTCGGTGATCTCCCGTCAGCTCCTCCGCGTCCTCAGCCCGCGCTGGGCCCTGGGGGACCGGGGAGCCGACAGGAACCGGGGCGGCGCGGGAGGGGGCCGCCTCCCGGAAGGTCGCGACCCGAGCGGGCACCCGAGGCGAGCTTGGTCCTGCGAGGACCACCAGGGAGCCGCCTCCTCCTGCCTTTGGGGGACACCGATGGCTACCTGTTGGCCAGTGCGTCCGCTGCACTGAGGCCAGCCCCCCTGGAGCTGGAGAATGTCAGCCAAAGAACTTCCCCACCGCACCCAGGCCTTACCCACTTTACTCTTCCCGACCCCCGCCCGTGAATATCCTTCTAGATGCTAGTGTTCAATCCTACCCTATCAGCAAGAACACAGGTTTAGGTCCTAGAGTGGTGATGGACAGCACCCCCAATCTAATCCCAAAGCCAGGTGAACTCAGAACAGGTTGTTCTAAGGGAAAAACTGGCCTGCTTGTCAATTTTACTTAGCATGGGTGCAGTTCTAAACAGCTGTCTGTGAAGCCACCCCTACTTGCATTTGTCAAAATCCACCCTCCTGAACCTTAACACTGTGAGGTCAAGATCAATGGGATCCATGAAAACAGTGTATGGTATAAAAGATCATAGCCTGTATGTGTTCCCAGTACCACACCATCTCATTAACCAAGGTTATTCGAAAACTCACATAGAACTCAACCCCTCAGCTGGGTTGGAGTTTAAACATTTCAAAGTCATACCTATTCAGGTCTTTCCTGTTCGTTGTCTTTAAGCAGAAAACTAAATGTTTTCTTAACCACTTTTTCATATCTGAAGTTTCCATGGTCAATTGCTAACCGGATTAAAGAACAACTTCTCATTTTCCTGTTTAAATGAACATGCTGAAAAAATAATAGCAGTCTTACTGAACAATACTGAACTCAGTTATTTTTAAGATGTTTTACATTCATTTTATTTAGTGCCCAGAAATGCCACAATGATCCCAGACTGTAATTTAGTGCATGATAAATCGCATGATCAATTTATGAGTTTATTTAATACTTACTCAGTGAGCTACTCTGAAGCCATTAATTTTAACTTCATTGTCAGGATAGATGAAATTGTGCATTTGGGATGTGGTTTCTTGGTTATCCTTAATATATTCTCACAGTTGCTACTTATTTTAGCTCCATTTTCAGTTTTTTGTTTTGTTTTGTTTTTCAAGAGAGGGTTTCTCAATACATTCCTGACTATCCTGGAACTCTCTCTGTAGACCAGACTAGCCTTCAGCTCAGATACCTCCCTGTCTCTGCCTCCTGGGTGCTAAGATTAAAGGTGTGCGGCCACCACTGCTCAGCTTGTTTCTGGGTTTTTTGTTTGTTTGTTTGTTTGTTTTTAAGATCTGGTCAGCTAGATTGACACCGTCCCATTTTTTTAAAAGTCTTTTTTAATTCTTACCATTATCTTTATCTCCTCACCTAAAAAAAAAAGCAAGGCCGTCCAGGTCTCTGTCTCTGGAACTTACAGCTGCCTCTTAATCATTTCAGCTCTGGGAAGAAAGAGAGATGGAGGTTTCCTGGCGGTTCTGGATAGTTCTCTTTCTGACACTGCAGGGTCTGTCCGCATTGGATTTTGACCCATACCGAGTCCTGGGGGTCAGCCGCACCGCCAGTCAGGCTGACATTAAAAAGGCGTATAAGAAGCTCGCCCGGGAATGGTATGTGAAACCAAGAACGGAAGTTTAACATATGCTAAGCAGTCAGCAGGTAGTTTGTCTGTGTCTATGTTCAGCAGACATAGTTGTCTAGAGTGTTGGTGTTCAGCTAGCAACCCATGTTCTGTCAATGCTAGTAATCACAAAGTTGTGCTTACTTTGACACACACCCTTCAAGAATGTTATAGCTTAGAGCATTGTTTTAGGTACTGTTAGGATATTATGTAATGTTAAAGTAAGATGTAACTTTGAAACCAGGGATAGTGGTGCACTACGTTAATCCCAGCTCTTAGGGGTAGAGACAGGCAGATCTTTGTGAGTTCAAGGCCAGCCTGATCTGCAGAGTGAGTTCCAGGACAGACAAGGCTACGCAACCCTGTCTCAGAAAAAAAAAAGAAAGAAAGAAAGGAAGAAAGAAAGAAAGAAAGAAAGAAAGAAAGAAAGAAAGAAAGAAGTAACTTTGATTTAAAAAAAAAAAAGTAGTTGGGGCAACCCTTGAGCTGATGGTTCTGGGTTCTGTTAGAAGCAGAATGAGCAAGCCACTAAACGGCACTTCTAGATGGCCTCTGCATCAACTCTTGCCTCCATGTTCCTGCCCTGCTTGAGTTCCTGTGCTGAGTTCTATGGAAGAAGTGAAATAAACCCTTCCTTCCTCTTGAGAGAAAAAAAAGTAATCAAACTGGACATGGTACCCTACACTTATGATCCCGGCACTTGGGAGGCAGAGGCAGGAGCCTCACCCACTC